GTTGGTGCCCTCAAAGAAAGTTGGTGACGCCTCAATAACGACTCCATCCAGCCATGGGTTCTTTTGAAAGAAATTTCAGCTTTTTTGAATCGATTAGCCGCTTCATTCCAGATAATCCGGCCTGTCACTCGTTTCTTCTCGCCTCGACGATCCCGTATCCATTCAGCCAAACCGATATCAATCCCCTCCGAGTTCAAGTGGCTTCTAAGAGGTTCAAGTCTTCTAAGTGGGCTAATCTTTATGATTTTGGTGTTACTTTGTTGCACTTGTTGAGATCTACAATCATAAAGATTGGCCCACTTAGAAGAAAGTTATGGCGAGCTGCGCAAAAAATTTGGCGCAAAGTAGCCACCCCAAATTTAAAAACAACAAATTTATGGGATAAAATTAAAAATACAAACGATTTCTGAAAATACATGAAAATTTTCCGCTTTAAAAGAGTTGTTTGTAATTACGCGTTAGGTGGGGATGGGGTACTATTAGAGGGATGGGGTGCTATTAGAGGGGTGGGGTCCAATTACAGTAGTTACGGTAATAAGTACCATTGGCTGTGGGGGGGGCAGCAGATAACCAATAAGTACCATTGACTGTGGGGGGGGGGGGCAGATAACCAATAAGTACCATTGACTTCTTGAGTTGAATTTGACTTCAAAAACTACATTAAATTTAAATCAAATCAAATTTCAAAATCAATTTACATCTTCCAAAACGATAATCTCTACCAAAAATGCTATCAATTTACGCAAAATGCAAATTTTTGCAACCTCTTCTCAGTTGAACACTTTTGGCTCCAATTTTTTCTGTCTATTTCTCAATGCAAATGCCTGCACGATTTGCTAGCACTTTCAAAAGCGCATAGCTAAACTTGTGAATTCTTTTCACGAAATTCCCAATCACTTTCAAGTCGTATTCATTGTTTTTGCCAAATTCTAAATTTCTGACAAATTCCAACCGTGCACTTTGAAGATTAAAGTTGAGTTTAAATTCTTCAAAAAAAAACCCGCTGAAATCACATTAACTCTCAAATTTGCACAAACCATTTGAAGGACGAGAAATGTTTTGTACGTTTTCGTCATCAATGTTTTGCGAAAAAACAGAAAGTATAAAGCTAAAATAAACAGGAAAACGTTAACGCTGAAAGTAACATCATAGAAAAGAGCAATTTGCTTTCGAGCAGTCTCATCCGGAAAATACATTCCTCCAAAATGACGAATAGAAAGCTTGTGCTGAGTTGCATTCAAAAATAGGACCTCAATGTCGGGTCAAATGTCTACATTCAATTAGTAGAACAGGTGAAATTCATTTGGAAATTGATTGTGGAAATGAAAGGATAGAATAAAAAAAGAGATTTGTGGGAAGAGTTGTGGGAATTTACAAGTACAAGTTAGAGTACAAGTTAGAGTACAAGTTAGAGGACAAGTTATAGTACAAGTTACAGTACAAGTTACAGTACAAGTTAGAGTAGAAGTTAGAGTACAAGTTAGAGCACAAGTTAGAGTACAAGTTACAGTACAAGTTACAGTAAATTTTGTCTTTTGACCTAATCAATTCTCCTAAGATATCCCAGTTGCAATTATTCGAATTCCACTTTCTTGGGCCAATTTTTTGCGTAGATTCCAAAAAACACACTTTCAACACGATTTGACGACGGTATCGCGATGAAAAGTGACGGAAAATTGACTTTGAAAATGTCTAGTTTTCAACTTTGGAATCTACGCCCTTTGTCACCATCAGCTCCCGTAATAGCTTTAATCTTCTCCGCTACTTCTGCCAATTCAAACGCCTTTGGATCATTGTCAGCGGCTACCAACAGCGCGTTTCCTTCTTGCAGGCACCGAATTGCTTCTCTGATATTCTCTTCTTCGCCGCCCTCTAGTAGATTGATGATCTTCAAGTTGACTTCCACTTGTGTAGCAAACGATTTGGATCTTAGCTTCGGACCGAGTGTCGACTTCGCCAGGATCTTCGCCGTCAGTTTCTGCTCCAGATGTTGCTCCAGTCGACTCGGGCTTTCTGGCACATTGGCATCGTCTGCCATTACCTAAAATTAAAAAAATCTTGGCAGAGAAATGCATCGAGGAAAACAAAATTAAGAACATAACACAACTTTGCTATAAACTAAATTACACTATTGAAAATTGTCCAGAATGAAAATTTGTCAAAAATTTCTCCTTTTAAACACGATTAACCACGAACTAGCCCTTGGCGGGTTACGGGTAAACAGCTTATAAGAAAAATACCATTATGTTTGCTCGCCAAACTCTGCGAGTTTTTACTCGCTATAAACATAATATCATTTTTCTCATAAGCCTTTCCGATATGATGTATTGTCCACCAATTTTGAGGTTGGACAATTTGTTCCAAAAACCAGTGTCAAAATCAGAAACCTAACAAAAATCCATATAAATCATAACAATAATAACAACAGCAAACGACAACCAAACGATTCCAACAATACAAAAGAAACAACATTACTCAAGACATGTGGTGCCTCCTTGGGCTTCTATCGAATCTTTGATATATGGCCGCATGCCGCTGCTTGACTTCCATCTTCCTCGGCGTTGTAGAGATTCTAGTGGTACACCTAGTGCTGCTTCCGTAGATGCTCCGCCTGCGCGCAGTGAGTGCGAAGTGAAGTTAGACCATCCAAATTGTTTGAAGAAATTGTTTAATTCAGTGGCCGCAGCTCGTGGTTGAATGGGCCCATTCCTTCCAGGAAAAACGCATGTTGAGGGGGCCTGGTTTTTCCATTTGTACTAGAGTTGATGTATGTATTGTCCCCCAATTTTGAGGTTGGACAATTTATTCCAAAAACCAGTGTAGAATGCATTAAGTACTAGTGAAATCTATGTGTAAAAAGATGAACTGAAACTTTGTTGGCCTCATCGTTAAAGGCCGTATTGCCCCCGGTGGAAGGTATTCAAATTTTTGCACCTTGACCAAAAGTCAGAGAATCTTTCACAAAGTTTTGAAACTGGCCTTTCTCGTTTATTAGTAATGGCCATACTGGATGTGATGTCCACTTGGGAAACCCCCAAATACCTCTGGTACCGAGCAAACTTTCCCACCTGATGGATTTGCAAAGCAGTGACGGCGGCGGGACGACCCAAGTTCGGTACGGTGCAGACCACCATTCTTTCCAAGCGAATGCATCTTCTCCAGCGGCTTTTGCGCTTGGGTATCTAGACACAAATGTTGAACATTTAGTTTTGACTCGTCTGCAAATAAATCTACGTCCGTTTTACCCCAACGTCTCATTAACATATCCGCTATTTCCAACTAAGAGGAAAAATGCAAAAGAATCGATGTCGACTTGTCAATTTTTTGTTGATAGGTCGAGAAATTTTGTCTTTTGACCTAATCAATCCTCCCAAGATATCCCAGTTACAATTATTCAAATTCCACTTTCCTGGGCCAATTTTTTTGCGTAGTTTCCAAAAAACACACTTTCAGCACGATTTGACGACGGTATAGCAATGAAAAGTGACTTTGAAAATTTCTAGTTTTCAACTTTGGTGTTCAGAAGGGCAAAAACCCTGAATAAAATAGAAAACATATCGAAAAACTGATACCATCGTGTAGAGCTCAATCTGAGCTTTCAGAATATATATGTCGTAGCCGTTTACGAAATTCAGCCGCTAACGAATGAGGGTATTTCTGGGCATCCAATCAAAAAGTCACCCATATAAAAAATGTTCATAATACATATATTTTATAATAAATTTTTGAAATTAGCTCATTTGGTTCAGTAGAAAATTTTTTTTTGAGCTCCCAAAGTTTAGGCTCAAAAATGCCCTAAAATGGATATAAAAAATTTTCTACTCAGCCAAAAAACCTGCCTAATAGCTCATTTTGTAGCCAATTTGATGTAGATTCTTAAAGTAAAAATTTGGAATCTACGCAAAAAATTGGCCAAAAAATTCAGGGCTTTTGCCCTTCTGAACACCAAAGTTGAAAACTAGAAATTTTCAAAGTCACTTTTCATCGCGATACCGTCGTCAAATCGTGCTGAAAGTGTGTTTTTTGGGAATCTACGCGAAAAATTGGCCCAGGAATTGATTAGGTCAAAAGACAAAATTTCTCGACCTATCGAAATCGATTCTTTTTGCATTTTGCCTCTTAGTTGGGCATCATTTAAGAATTGTTAGTGCTTAGATTTTTGGTTTGAAGACAAAAAATTCTGTACTCGTTGTGCCCAAGGCCATAGCCTGCTTATTGAACTGATTTGCAAGAAAAACCCTTTGCGCCAATCGATTTCTAGACACCGAAAACCTCGCGATTCATAAATTTCAGCCGTTTTGCAAAGAATTCTGCCCACAAATTTCTTTTCTCTTTCAATACTTTCATTTCCACAATCAATTTCCAAATGAATTTCACCTGTTCTACTAATTGATTGTAGACATTTGACCCGACATTGAGGTCCTATTTTTGAATGCAACTCAGCACAAGCTTTCTATTCGTCATTTTGGAGGAATGTATTTTCCGGATGAGTCTACTCGAAAGCAAATTATGCTTTTCTATGATGTGACTTTCAGCGTTAACGTTTTCCTGTTTATTTTAGCTTTATACTTTCTGTTTTTTCGCAAAACATTGATCACGAAAACGTACAAAACATTTCTCGTCCTTCAAATGGTTTGTGCAAATTTGAGAGTTAATGTGATTTAAGCTTTAAGCTTTAAACTCAGCTTTAATGTTTAAAGTACACGGTTGGAATTTGTCAGAAATTTAGAATTTGGCAAAAACAATGAATACGACTTGAAAGTGATTGGGAATTCCGTGAAAAGAATTCACAAGTTTAGCTATGCGCTTTTGAAAGTGCTAGTAAATCGTGCAGGCCTGGTACTTATTGGTTATCTGCTCCCCCCATAGTCAATGGTACTTATTGGTTATCTGCCCCCCCACAGTCAATGGTCCCCGTTAAAAAACCTATAGAGATCACTTTTTCGCGCGGCTTTTATTAGCGGTAATAAGTGATTATAAATGATGAGTGATTACAGATGATGTCCTTTGGATGTGATGTTCTGTTAGCTGTCGCTCAACCAATAATCATTGCTCCACTTTTCACCGCAGTTTTGGCTGCCTCTTATGAGTATCCGTTTATATTTGTGTTGATCGGAGCGGTAAGTTGCTCATTAGGGAAAGGCACAAACTCAAGGTGAGCTTTTGTCATGACTAGTGCACTTTATAGAGTCTGGTATGAGGAAACCGTAAATTAGCGTCAAAACGGATGCTTTAAAAGGCTTCTTCCTCCTTCCTCCTTCCTAGAAAGAGGTACGTTGGTATCCTAACCGATAACGCGTTCGACTTCCGCCCACAGTACCCAACGTACCTCCTCTCCGCTAGGAAAAAGCCTTTTAAAGCATCCCTTGCTCACCTTGAATTCGTGCCTTTCTCTAGTCAGAGAAAACTGTTTGCATTGTTTATTTCTTTGCTTTTCTAGGGTTTTACGAGTTAAATCGATTAACATCAAAAGTAGCATCAAATCTAAAGATTCCGGCACATTTCAGAGCCTTTACACCCTAATGTTGCATCTCTTTCAAGTGTTTTACTTTTCTTCCGGCATCTACAAGTTGTCCCTTGTGTACCGCGATCAAAGGGTGCTTCTTATGTTGACCTATTCGTTTTTCATATTCACAAGTGTCTCAATGGACGTGATGATCCAAACTGCAGGCATTCTAGCCTATTCCCAGAATATGATTATCACCAACACAAGTCAGGTATTTTTACTTTGGCATCCTTTTTTCGATTCACCTCCTACTTCGACTTGAAAAGAAAACTTGAAAAGCATACAATGAGGGGTGTGTGGAAAGTAAAATTCGGAATTTTCGGGATTTCTGGATTTCCGAATCGTTTCAGAGACCGGATAATATTCAGAAATTTCTGAATAATTTGTTTCAGACAGTTACCCAAAATTATCCGATATCCGGAGAATTTCCGGATACTGAATAGCAATCTTTGTCAAAACTCTCTTGGTTCTGCGATAATTTGAACTCTGAGGGGTTTACAGGCCTGATACTGCTTAAAAGACTCAATATTTTCACTGTTAAAGGGTTTTGCCACTTCTAAGAGCGCAGAATCGAGGTTAACACCACTTCTGGCAACCATAAGCCTACTTCTAGCAACCACAAAGCAACGCAGATCTACCCTTACGTCTTCTTAGCTAATTAAACAGTTTTTCGTATCGGAATAACGGATTATCCGCAAATCCCGGCATAAAATACGATCGACAAATGCCGAATGATTTTATGTTTATAGTTTTTCACAATTTTTCTCAGATCTACGCTCTTGCTGGTGTTCCTGTTGAGAAGAATCCGCCGCGAATGTTTCGAATTGAATATGGAGGAATCGCTTTGTCGTTGATCAAATATTCTGTGATCGACGTCGCCTTGTTGGGGGCCGGCTTTTTCATTTTAATCATTGTGATCATTCTCAGCGCCCTCACCCCGAAACTACATTTATCCCAGAGAACTCGAGAAATGCAACGATATTTTACGACCATGTTTCTATTACAAGTGGGCGCTAGACTGATTGCAGATTCAGATTTGATTGAATCTTCAATCTACAATCGCTAGATTGAAGCTTTGAACTAGATTGACGCGCCCGCTCCCTTTGCCATTGGCAATCCAACTTTGAACTCAAATTTCTTGGTGTTGTGCTATTCATTTTAACTATTCTTGATATCATTAGATGCGCCAAGTCTTTCTCTATTGATTGGTGCAAACACGAAAAAACTCCAAAGTATTGCTTTAGCAAAAAAACTATCATTCAGTGTGCGGCTTCAACAATATTTATCCTTTTTCCGTTTTTATTTTTGGGAATGGTTGCTACGAAAATGATTGACAATGAGATTGTAAACGGAAGTAGGTTTTGGTTCTAAACTCTCTAATACATCAACGCCAGGGTTTCCGGAATATTCGGAGGATAAATTTGCACACAAATTTTGATCTATTAGAGAGATATGTGCAAACTTTGAGTAACTTCTTTTCAGTGGCAGATATGGCATTGTTGTCCGCGTGTTTTCACTCGATTTCCACAAATTTGATCGTCATTTTTACATCAAAGACCTATCGAGAAGTTCTTGTTGGCTGGATGCGGCTCGAATGCGGAAAGATCTCAATGTCTTTTTCTTCAATCGTGCTTCTATGCAAGCCGAAACCCATCGCAACGATCCCGCAACAATCATTGTCACTTGTGCTTTCAAATATTAAATAGAAACAATCATAAACTCGATCTGGATATTTGGCTCGATATTTTATGTGGTTTTCGATGAGACTGCAATCATTTTTCAACTGTTTAACTTTTTAACTACTCAAGTCAATAGTTCACAGCGTGAAAATAAAAAAGTTGTACCGGAAAAACCCGTGTGAAGTTTGATCAGAGCGATTAAAAACCTGTGGACAAATGAAATAAAGCCACCTCAGAGGTGGGGAGAGTTGTGGGAAGGATTGTGGAAAGTATTGTGGAAAGTATTGTGGAAAGTATTGTGGGGAGTTTCTTAAAGTAAAGCTACATTGAACCTTTGTTTTTCAAAGCTAGGAGAAAGAGGGCGAGGAACGACTTCAGTTGAAGTCGGTCACTGTTTTCACATTTGAGAATTGCCCTGAATTTGTTCCTCGCCCTCTTTCTCCTACTTTCAACGAAAAATTGTTTTAGATGGCTTTACATTAAGAATCTACATCAAATTGGCTACAAAATGAGCTATTAGGCAAGTTTTTTGGCTGAGTAGAAAATTTTTTATATCCATTTTAGGGCATTTTTGAACCTAAACTTTGGGGGCTCAAAAAAATTTTTCTACTGAACCAAATGAGCTAATTTCAAAAATTCATTATAAAATATATGTATTATGAACATTTTTTATCTGAGTGACTTTTTGATTGGATGCCCGGAAATACCCTCATTCGTTAGCGGCTGAATTTCGTAAACGGTTACGACATATATATTCTGAAAGCTCAGGTTGAGCTCTACACGATGGTATCCTTTTTTCGATATGTTTTCTATTTTATTCAGGGTTTTTGCTACGAGATATATAACACTTATGGGTTCTGTCGAGTACTTTTGTAGATATGGCGTATCAAAGTTGGTGAATTTTGAATTTTGAGTAAAATTTCTCGAAAACCAGCGCCATTTACAGCATCGGAATCACCGTGAAAAACGGCATAAGATAGGCTAGGTTTGCTTTAGAAAATTCGAATTCGAAATCAGTGCTAAGTTGAAAGATTTCTCCTAGTAAGTCTTCAAAATCCAAATACAGGGAAACTTTCCATTCGTATAATTCAGATAATGCCCTTCTATGCAATGTTTATTATCTGTGAAGCGTGATTTGTGTTTGTTTTTGTGTGCAAATGCTTGCTTATCCTTTTGAAAAGCTTCCGTAACACTTTCAGAAGCTTGTCGTGAAAAATTGTTTGAAACTTGTCAGAAACTTGTCGATGAGAAGCACGTTGATTCCACCAAGATTTATTCAAGTTTTCTGGTTTTCAGCGGCAATTTTTCTGATGTTAAATGCAACCAAGTAACACCAAATTTCATCTGTAAAGGTTTAGAGGTGAAATTTTTGGGAGAAGACCTCCTTGAAGAAGTTTAAAGCAATCAGTTGACTTCAGGGCCTCGCAAAATTTTGTTTTCACTACAGAAAGGAAAGTTCTTTTTAATAAAAGACTCTTTGTCTCTTTGACTCTTTGACTGACTCTTTGACTGACTCTTTGACTGACTCTTTGACTGACTCTTTGACTGACTCTTTGACTGACTCTTTGACTGACTCTTTGACTGACTCTTTGACTGACTCTTTGACTGACTCTTTGACTGACTCTTTGACTGACTCTTTGACTGACTCTTTGAGCACTGACAAATTTACCAAAGCATTTGATATTTGGCCAAGCCGAACGGATCGAAAATGAAAAGAAAAACCGGAATCACTATGCAGATAAGCTAGCCACAGTGAAACCTGCAAAAGAACGCTGATCAAAGTTTGGAGGAGCACTTAAAATTTACAGAATTACATCATTCGTCGATTCCAAATTCTGTCAGGACTTATTGGAAGAGTGTTACCGTATTTTCTCTAATAGTAGTGCACCCTGAGCGTCGCCTGAATTGCTCGAAATCTCGAGAACCGCTTATGAGAACCTATCGATGTGGGCTCGGAAAATGTAGCTCACGATGAGATCTTGACGATGATTAGAGTCTTGAGCTTCTGTGAAAGCTTGGAATAAAATCGTCGCCAACTCGGCTCAGTGGGGGATTTGAGTGGGGGATTTTAGTGGGGGATTTGAGTGGGGGGTTTGAGGGTTGAGCTTCTACAGCTTCTGCAGCTTCTACAGCTTCTGCAGCTTCTACAGCTTCTGCAGCTTCTACAGCTTCTACAGCTTCTACAGCTTCTGCAGCTTCTACAGCTTCTACAGCTTCTGCAGCTTCTGCAGCTTCTGCAGCTTCTGCAGCTTCTACAGCTTCTACAGCTTCTGCAGCTTCTACAGCTTCTGCAGCTTCTACAGCTTCTACAGCTTCTGCAGCTTCTACAGCTTCTGCAGCTTCTACAGCTTCTCAGCTTCTACAGCTTCTGCAGCTTCTAAGCTTCTCAGCTTCTGCGCTTCTACAGCTTCTGCAGCTTCTGCAGCTTCTGCAGCTTCTGCAGCTTCTGCAGCTTCTACAGCTTCTACAGCGTCTACAGCTTCTGCAGCTTCTACGATTTCTGCAGCTTCTGCAAAAGCTTGAAAACCGTAAAATAGTCATCAACTCGGCTCACCCGGGTGCACTACTATTAGAGAAAATACGGTATTTATCTTGGTGGATGTGAGCGCTCTCGTGTTCTATGTATTGTTTTGGTGTCTCTGTGCTGATTTCTTTGATAGAGTTTTTATTTTTGAGACAAAATCTAACAATGAGATTTCAGTAAAAGAAAAAGCAAAAATAAAGTAAAAGTAGACAGCACCTTTCTCGAGAAATCTTTCCCTTTTCACCAAAACTTTGAATAAACTTGGTGTACAAGTTTTTTGTTGTTTCCGGCCTTTAAAGCAGTGTGAATCTTCTAAAAAAGAAAAGAGTTTCCGCTCGATTTCACAAAAAAAACTTACATTTCGACGTTTTTTCCGTATTTTTGCCATAATATGCAATAAAATGAAAGAACCAGCGATAATATATGACGGATAGATCTGAAAAGAAATCCTATTTTCGACTTATTTATAATTTTCTTCAACAGAACTTTTTATTTATTTGTTTTCTTAAAAAAAAAAACAAATGTATTTGGTATTCAGGTATCTTTAAATTTTTTTAAAACTCTTTCTTTATCGTTTTGCTTAGACTTGTAACGAAAATATCTGTCGATTCTTTTTTGCCGTTTGCAATTTAATGTTTTTCGAGTTTTTCTCAGCACCAACTCTTGGATTTTGTCTATTTTAACTATCATTCGATGCAGAATGAAGATTTCGCGTTGAATAATACCAATATTAACTTAAGGGTGACCAAGAATTACCGCAACAACGTCGGATTATGAGCGTCGCAATGTTATGAGCCTCATTTCACTTTTTGCTTACCTTTTTTTATGGTTTTTGTGTATTTTTCTTATTTTATGGTATGATTACTAACTTTCAATATTTACAATTAATATGGTTGTTTTCAGGAATGGTGAAAGCGTCTCCACATCGACAATCGATCCTTGAGCTCAAGACAATCAATCCTTGAACGCAAGACAATCGATCCTTGAGCTCAAGACAATCGATCCTTGAGCTCAAGACAATCGATCCTTGAGCTCAAGACAATCGATCCTTGAGCTCAAGACAATCAACCCTTGAGCTCAAGGATTGATTGTCTTGAGACAATCAATCCTTGAACGCAAGACAATCGATCCTTGAGCTCAAGACAATCGATCCTTGAGCTCAAGACAATCGATCCTTGAGCTCAAGACAATCGATCCTTGAGCTCAAGACAATCGATCCTTGAGCTCAAGACAATCGATCCTTGAACGCAAGACAATCGATCCTTGAGCTCAAGACAATCAATCCTTGAGCTCAAAACAATCAATCCTTGAGCAGCGTGTTCAGGCGAGCGAGATCGCCTGAATGTCCCCAGAAGCCTCGTTTCTCGAACCATTCAACGTTATGAAACTCTGCGCACAGTTTCTGATTGCCCAGAGCTTCATAACGTTTCTGATCGATTTCTGGAAGAGGTGCAAAACGAACAGCGGTTACTCCGGCTAATGTCAAGAAAGTGCGCGATCGTCTAAGATTAAACCCTAACCAATCGGCTCGAGGAATAGCACAGAAAATGAGGCTGAAGAGAAGCCCCGTCAACACAATCACAATCTTATCAACAAGATGGTGCGCCGGCTCACAAGGCAAAGAAAGTGCAAGAGTTTTGTTCAAAGACCTTCCCGGACTTGATCTCATTTTCTGAGTGGCCATCCAGCTCACCCGATCACCATTGGATTGGATTAACCCATTGGATTACTCAGTTTAGAGTGTTCTTGAAGCCAGGGTATGTGCAAAACCACATAAAAATATCGAAAGTTTGAAGAAGGCGCTGATCAAAGCATGGATCTCATGCTTTGATGAGCTTTGATGAGCTTTGATGAGCCTCGATGATGCCTATTTGCTCGATAACGCGTTTCCCAAACGTTTGCTGGCCAGTCTGAATGCCGATGGAGGCAAATTTGAATTGAATTGTTAATTTGTTACTGTTTATCTCATGAAGATTCTCACTGAACGCGGTTACTCATTCTCCACCACGGCTGTGCGCGAGATTGTGCGAGACATCAAGGAGAAACTTTGCTACGTCGCTTTGGACTTTGAGCAAGAGATGTCAACTGCTGCTTCGTCGTCAGCCTTGAGAAGACCTACGAATTGCCTGATGGACAGCTCATCACCATTGGAAACGAGCGATTCCGCTGTCCTGAAGCTCTCTTCCAGCCATCTTTCTTGGGCATGGAATCGGCGGGAATCCACGAGACTTGCTACAACTCGAATTTGTTACTGTTATATGTTGAATAAAGATATTTAAGTTAACTTTTCGAGATGGGTTGCTTTGGTTAATGGTTAATTTGGTTAAAAGCCAGGCCTTTTTGTGTGTTGCGGTAATTCTTGGTCACTCTGTATAATAACCACGCAAAGTTATGAGGCTCCATAGAAAGTTACATAGAAAAAAGTTGAAAACATGTAGATGTCGATAAGCGAAGCGCTGCTCAAAAAGATGCTTGGTCCGTAGGCGGCCAAGAAGAGGAATGAGATCTGAGCTACCAAGTGAAGCGCTAAAATTTACTCAAATCACAAAACGCAAAGCTAAAAGCCAAGAAAAAACAAAATCAAACAAAATTAGAGAAAAGGATAGATAAAAAAGTTTGCACACTCACTTGAGAAAGGCCACAACATCAAATAGGCATTGCGATTCTCTGAAGCCGAGAAGTTAGCGCTCAACTCGTAAGATCTAAAAGGAATCTATAACACTAGGGAAATAACATTAACCAATAAGTAAATTCGCTTTATCTTATCGAAAACCTTTTATTTTATCGTGGACTTTTCAAAAACTATCAACTTCTAGCTCACTATCAGCTTGCTCTTGCCCAGCAAAAAAAAAGCAAAAAATTTGGCCCCAATAAACGTTTATTGTTCCAATAAAGCCAAAGACCTAAGGCCAAAGACCTAAGGCCAAAGACCTAAGGCCAAAGACCTAAGGCCAAAGACCTAAGGCCAAAGACCTAAGGCCCCTAGGACCCTAGGACCAAAGCCAAAGACGTTTTGTATGGACGTTGTGGGACGTTTTGGAGCTAGGTACTCATTGGCTAATGCTATTGAACGGTTTCCAAAAACCGGTGATAAGTTGAAACAGTTCCCTAGTCATTTTGCAGTTGTGCAGTTGCCTAGTTGCTTTGTTGTTGCCTAAGTTTACCAATTTAGTTACTTTTAAAACCAAGCGATAGATCTAATCAAGCGCTATCTATCAAGCGCTATCAAGCGCTATCTATCAAGGGCTATCAAGAGCTATCAAGCGCTATCAGGCGCTATCAAGCGCTATGTATCAAGCGCAAAAACAGTCCAATTGGAGCACGCATTGCTGAGATTTTCGAGTCATAAGTGACTGTTTGATTCACAAGATCAATGTTTCCGATCGAGACGTACTTATCGATTTTTCTCTCTTTTCGAGTCAGAAAGAACATGATCAAGATACTGGCCACATCAATGGATGGAGAGAAAACGAGGAATGTCTCGAGTTTCAAAGTCGTCACCGCATTTCCACTCGCGCAATACGGGACCATTAGCGTGAAGTCTTCACTCGAAATCAGCCAGCCATAAATAATGAATGAGTAGCTTGTCTGAAAAGTGGAAATGTGGGAAAGTGTCTTTAAAAATGCTGGCTGAATACCGAGAACCAATTTCTTATGCCTGGATTCGATTTTGCTAGAAATCATCTTTCTATCTTTTATATTTTTAATTCCTATTTCTTAATTCCCCTATTTCCCATCATAAACTCAAATCATTTATGATTTTATCAAAAAGAGGCATGGTAACCCACCTAACGGCGGGTTTCTCTGGATTTTTTGGGGTTAGACGTCTTTTGGAGCAGCGCGCCGGTCTATCGCCCATACGATCCGGGTTCGACCTCCCCGTGCGGCTCGAATTGTGCTTTTTAAAAAATCCAAAAGCACGTTGCACAACTACATGTAATTCTCTATTCAACGGCGCAAAAATCATTGCAAACGGTTCTCTGGGGGCTGAGGAGTAGCGCGCACAGACAGACAGAGGGACGGACAGACAGACAGACGGACAGACAGACGGACAGATGGACAGACAGAGAGACGGACAGACAGACGAACAGACGGACAGGCAGACAGACGGACAGACGGACAGACAGACGGACAGACGGACAGACAGACAGACGAACATACGGACAGACAGACAGACGGACGGACGGACGGACAGACAGACAGACAGCCGGACGGACAGGTAGACAGACAGACGGGCAGACGGACAGACAGACAGACAGAAAGACGGACAGACAGACAGACAGCCGGACGGACAGGTAGACAGACAGACGAACAGACGGACAGAAAGACGGACAGACAGACAGACAGACGGACGGACGGACAGGCAGGCAGACAGACGGGCAGACGGACAGACAGACGGACAGACAGAGAGACAGACGGACGGACAGCCAGGCAGACCGACAGACGGACGGACAGACAGACATACAGACAGACAGACATACGGATAGACAGACAGACAGACAGACAGACAGACAGACAGACATACGGACAGACAGACAGAGAGACGGACAGACAAACAGACGGACAGACAGACAGAATTGCCTATTTTGCCAGTGATCAAGCTCAAGATTCAAAAAAGAAGCCCGCAAACAACTCACTCACCGATATGACAATCAAATAAGTCCCCATTCTCATCTTATGTTCCTCATATTTTGTGCTATAATATCGAGCGAAAATCCTCTCGATGCAAAGCGATAAATGCAAAGCCGAAGCAATGATAATCGTGATGACTGTGGGCGCTTTTGACGTGGTACAGAAAAGAGTCGACACGTAAATCCCACAGGCAGTTGAGGAGAAAAGATAGACGGCTAATGAGTAGCCCTGAACTTTTTTTGCAACAAAAACTACTTTTTAACTCAAACATACCATGGTTATGATGTAAAAAATGCCGTGCAGAAAAAACCAGACAAACAACGAGATTAGCAAAACCTAAAAGAGTGAAGGTGAAAAGAAAATCGTAAGCGTTTTGAATTTCCGTGCTTTTCTCAACAACTCACTTTGCAATTCGGATGAAAATATGAATTGCTGATTTGAAAAATAACTGGAATACAAAGAATACAGGCGACGCCACAAAGAATACATTGCAAAAGAATCGCCATATGCAAAGCGGTGTTCGCCGTGAAAAGAGTGGCCATTTGAGCGCATTCAGCTTCATTCATTTCTAGATTTCTGCGTTCGTTTCTAGATTTCTACATTCATTTCTAGATTTCTGCGTTCATTTCTAGACTTCTGCGTTCATTTCTAGATTTCTGCGTTCATTTCTAGATTTCTGCGTTCGTTTCTAGATTTCTGCGTTCGTTTCTAGATTTCTGCGTTCATTTCTAGATTTCTGCGTTCATTTCTAGATTTCTGCGTTCATCTCTAGATTTCTGCGTTCATTTCTAGATTTCTGCGTTCATTTCTAGATTTCTGCGTTCATCTCTAGATTTCTGCGTTCATTTCTAGATTTCTGCGTTCATTTCTAGATTTCTGCGTTCATCTCTAGATTTCTACACTCATTTCCATTTAATTTCAATTTCAATTCCTATTCAATTCCATTTCAACTCCATTTCAACTCCATTTCAATTCCTATTCAATTCCTATTCAATTCCTATTCAATTCCTATTCAATTCCTATTCAATTCCTATTCAATTCCTATTCAATTCCTATTCAATTCCTATTCAATTCCTATTCAATTCCTATTCAATTCCTATTCAATTCCTATTCAATTCCTATTCAATTCCTATTCAATTCCTATTCAATTCCTATTCAATTCCTATTCAATTCCTATTCAATTCCATTTCAACTCCATTTCAATTCCATTTCAATTCCATTTCAATAAATAAATGCAAATTTAGATGCTCTAGTAATCTAGTAATCTTTAAATTTAAAAAACAAATTCAACAAATTCAAATCAAACTGAGAAATGGGAAATGAAATCAAGCGTCATTTGCTCCCTTTTCACGTCAAATTATAGATCCCAGAGGTATAAAAAAAAAGGAAAATTCGTAGAATATTGTTGAACATTTGAACCCATTTTATATTTTGTGCAGGGTGATCGCAAACTCTAGCTCAGGAAAGTTTTTGGAGAACTTGACGCTGACAAACGCTTGACGCTGACAAACGCTTGTCGCTGACAAACGCTTGACGCTGACAAACGCTTGACGCTGACAAACGCTTGACGCTGACAAACGCTTGACGCTGACAAACGCTTGACGCTGACAAACGCTTGACGCTGACAAACGCTACCAAAGTGCCAAGTGTTATATAGAAAACTAAAGCCCTTCATCTTGGCATCATTTTCCTACAAAGAACTTTCCGATTCGAATCATACAAATCATTTGACAAGCTCTTCAATGAGCTCAAGGCCACTCACCTGCTCTGCTGCCTTTTTGATCTGCTGTTTTGACACTTTTTGACATACAATATTTTCATCTGGAAAGAGATTTCTTTAATCAAACTTGTATTTTACTTTAAAAGTACTATTTAACAAAAATATAATGTTAGAGAAGCTTAAACAGCAAGATCTTCTTGTCAAATGGATATTCAAAAAGCTCTGTAGAATATAAGGAAGTCTGTTCAATAGAATATAAGGAAGTTCTCTGTGCTTAAATTTTAAACGGCTTACTGAATCCTTCATTTCTTCACATAAGAAAATGAAGAATTCGGTGCACCGAGAGGGATGGGTTTATATTTAAGTACAAAAAACGGAACGAACAAGACACAGAACAGAACAGAACAGAACAGAACAGAACGAACAAGACACAGAAGAGAACGAACAGAACACAGAAGAAAGCAGAACACAGAACAGACCAGAATAGAACACAGGACAGAACAGTACAGAACAGAACGCAGACCAGAACAGAACACAGAACAGAATCGGCAAGAATCCAGGCTTCAATTCTCTATATAACACTTAGGATTTTTGAATTGATTTCAGCGTTTCGCATGAAATCTGCTGAAAAGGTGTAGCCGAAAAAGAACTTTTTGGAAAAGTATCTGGGAAATGTCTAATTTATTTCAAAGGTGGCAAGTGTTATTAAGAGAATTGAAGCCCTGAATCTTGGCATTATTTATCTATAAAGAAGTTCCCGATTGGAATTATACAACTCACCTTACAAGCTCTTGAATGAGCTCAAGTCAAATTGCCAATTTGCCATTTTTGGCACTTTTTGGCTTACTGAATACTGAATTCTTCATTTCTTCACATAAGAAAATGAAGAATTCGGTACACCGGACGGAATGGGTTTACATTTAAGCACAAAAAACAGAACAGGACAGAACAGAACACAGAACAGAACACAGAACAGAACAGAACACTGACCTCTTCATAGCTAGGCGGAGCTGCGTACGCCTCGGCTGCTTTCTTCTCCATAACCTGACAAAGAATAAAGTATCAATCAAATATTTATAATATTGCTAGAGAAGCTTATCCAGCAAGATCTTCTTATCAAATGGATATTCGAAAAAGCTCAATTTTCCCTTTTTTCAAATGTTTCCATATGTATCCAGAAATCAACTTCAATTTTGGCTATGAAAATTTGAAGAAAGAGTTTATTCCTATTCTTATTTCGATTAAATAATATTAAATGTTCATTCCTCACAAAATAAATATCGAGTCTTTTTAAATTTTTAACAATTTTTTATTAAGAAAAGTGTGAAAAATGGCAGATCACCGGTGAGTGGCCTTGAGCTCATTGAAGAGCTTGTCAAATGATTTGTATAAATCGAATCGGGAAGTTCTTTGTAGTAAAATGATGCCAAGATGAAGGGCTTTAGTTTTCTATATAACGCTTGACGTCAGCAGACGTGCAGACGTCAGCAGACGTGCAGACGTCAGCAGACGTTTGCCAGCAAAGTTTTCCAAAAAAGGTGTCGCTATAATTTGCGATCACCATGTCAAGGATGTCCTAAAATTATGAAGCGCTAATTCGATCATTAATCTTTTGTTAATTTTCAAGAAATTTGAAATAGATAACTTAAAAATGATTTAACAATCATTGAGCATAGCAAAAATATAATATTATTCATAGTTCCTATTTAGTTCCTTTATAGTTCCTTTATAGTTCCTATTTAGTTCCTTTAAAGCTCCTTTAAAGCTCCTTTAAAGCTCCTTTAAAGCTCCTAATTAGCTCCTTTATAGTTCCTTTAAAGCTCCTAAAGCTCCTTTAAAGCTCCTCAAAGCTCCTTTAAAGCTCCTTTAAAGCTCCTTTAAAGCTCTTCAAAGCTCCTTTATAGTTCCTATTTAGTTTCTTTAAAGCTCCTTTAAAGCTCCTTTAAAGCTCCTTTAACGCTCCTCAAAGCTCCTTTATAGTTCCTTTAAAGCTCCTCAAAGCTCCTTTAAAGCTCCTCAAAGCTCCTTTAAAGCTCCTTTAAAGCTCCTTTAAAGCTCTTCAAAGCTCCTTTATAGTTCCTTTATAGTTCCTATTTAGTTCCTTTAAAGCTCCTTTAAAGCTCCTTTAAAGCTCCCTGATAGTTCCTATTTAGTTCCTTAGGAGGCCGCTTCCTTTAACTTTGAAAACATTTTCGTAATCGTTTCCGAAAGTTCGTATTCGTTCGGTATTCGAATATTCGAAAAAAATTTGCATAAATCAATTTGTTTAACCGCCATTAACCGACTAAAAAAAGAACAATTATGCAAATTTATTCGTTTAATTGTTTAATCAACATACTCTAGCAATGAGTGACTTATGAGTTTGTAAGAGTCTACCGTCGCTCACCAAGCAAGTGCAGCATCACTAGTAGTATAGTATCACTGTCTTCCATTTTTGGCATCCAAATTCGATTCATTCAATCATTTTTTTTTGCATTTTCTTAATGTTTTTAGCAGTAAAGTCGTATTTTGAGTAGCTTTGATTGCATTTTTGATTTTTTGGATTCTTGCAAAGGTATAACTCTTTTCCTAAAAGAACTGCCAGAATTTCGAATCGACTCTCCAGAGTTTTGAGAGAGTCCAATAGTCTCGAAACCTTTCAACTACCGTATTCTCTGTAATAGTCGTGCGCACTACTATTTTTTGAACCCCCTCCTGGACCGCAATACTATTAGAGAGTGCACTTCTATTAAAGAGTCTTATCATTTACCAAACTAAGACAGATATAAGATTTGTTCCAAAAATTCTTGCAATTCTTTAACGTACACCTTTGGCTCCTTTTTGACATACAGTTGTGGACCGGTGAGTTGACAATTTGTGTCTTGACATGAATAAATTTAGCCATTCCTCTGTTTAGCCAATTTAGCCATTCCTCTGATGCCAAAAATTCCTCGTCACCTTTTCACATTAACAAAAATTATATAATATTAAAATCGAACATGATGGATTATTTTCTAGGATTGAGTTTTGATAACAATAAAGCTTAGCGCTGCAAAAGGTGCGCTGCAAAAGGTGCGCTGCTGCAATTCTCAAACTTTATACAGGTACAGAGTGCGTCATAATTATTGCAACAAGATACTCAAGCCATTGCACACCAAGAAGTTTGACTGGAAGAAGATTTTTTAAACAGAAATAGCTTTATTTAACAGTAACAAATAAGGAAACAAGAGATCATTCGATATGACCGCCTTTTGCCTTGATAACAGCCCTTAATCGGTTCGGATATGCCTCCACTGCGGCCCGAATGTCATCTTTAGGATGGCCCTTCGCCTTGAGGATGGCCCTTCGCCTTGAGGATGGCCCAATCGCCTTCCATCCTTTGGTCAAAGACTTCTTCAAGGTCAAAGACTTCTTCAAGGTCAAAGACTTCTTCAAAGAATCCAAACTTATGTGTTTTCGAGAGCAGACATTAGCCTCTAAGATTGCCCAAATGGAAAAGTCCATCACATTGAGATCCGGTGAGTTTGGAGGCCATTCATCCTTGGTGATCACTGAGGGAAAGTTGGCCACACACCAG